CCCCTGCCATATCTCCTCGTCTACTCCACATCCTCTCTCTCCTCTCACTTTGCAAGATCCACTGTTCTCACACTAAAATATTCATAGTGGATGGGACCAGAACACTAGGGGAGCCCTGCCTGGCGCTCTGCACCGTTTTACTCTTCTGGTTTTGTCAGTCTGTCCCAGTGCCCGGTTCAGCGGCAGGACCAGGTCTACGGTTCCAGGAGGACATCTAGCCATTCAGCTGACTAGGCAGTCCCCCTACAATGAATGACAAACCTTCCCAATGCCTCCGACCCCCAGCACTCCTGAGCCCCCATCCTCCGATGATGGACAAGCAGTGGGGCATGGTAATCCATGAAACACAGAGGTAAACACAGCTCTGGGGTGCTGGGTAGGGTGGCTGAGACCCTGCCATGGGGCTTCACGCCCTACCCCAAAGTGGCCCAGAATAAAGGGATGCCCAGGACTCACCCCATCTCTGAGCTGCAGTGAGGGAAGCAGACGCCTGCTCCTGCAAGGGGGCACATGCCCCTCTCCAGCTTGGGACTGTCCAGTGAGCATCTCCCTGGTCAGGATGTTTTAGTTCCCTCCTCCCTCTGCCCTCCTTCTCCCAATGAGCTCATCTGTCTGGGGCTCCCCACCCCCCTTTGCCTGAAAGGATGTTTGGAAAGAACCTGGCAGAAAACAGAAAAAGAGGAAGGGAGGGATGGAGGAGGTGCGCTCAGAGCCCTTAGAGAAAGTGGAGATGGGTGAGGAGAGCGCAGGAAGAGTTCATCGCTGCTCCAAGTCGGATTAGAGGTGGGCTGGGGAGCAGCGGGCGAGGGGGCCAGTACTGGTTCCTTGCTGGGCTGCTGAGCCACGTGCCTGCGGGTTGGTTTGGTGCATGCTGTCCTGTTAACCCCCTCAGCACCTGCCAGACTTCAGTGGATGCTGAGACTGTGGCTGAGGCAAGTGAGCACTGAGCTGGAGGGCAGGAATGGTGAGTCGGGATGGGCAGGGAACAGACCTAGGTGCATTAGAAGGAGACTCCCAAACGCCTGGCCAGGTAGCATCCACCCAACCCCAACCCCAGAGGCAGAAGGATTTGGGAGCATTCAACTTTACGTTACTGTATGCAGAGTATCCTGGCTCCTGCAGTTCCACTGTCCTGAGGTTGGGGCCCTGTTGATAACTGGGTTATAAGCTCCTGGTGTTGATCTGAGTGATCTGAGGTCAGAGGGAGAGGGGCTGGGAGGTGGGGGCATTGCAGGGGGCGGGGATCCCTGCAGAGCTCCCTCTTCTCTGCCTCTCTGAGCCGGGTCAGCGCGGCTGCCATCCAGCTCCAGTACCTGCAATGCCCCGACAGGAGCCGAGAGGGCTTATGGGGGAGGGGGAGGGGCAGGCAAGGGCAAGGGCAATAGGGGAGCCAGAGGGGGAGGAGGCTCCCTGCCAGGCTCTCATTACTTAGAAGGAACTCCTCTCAAAATAGCTCTGGAGGCCTCCCCGGAGCTCTCTCTTCCTCCCCTGCCGGGGTCTTGGCTAGCTTTCTGAGAATTGACAGGAGATGGAATCTTCCACCTACCCACCCCGGTGGAGGTGGAACGTGGGACCACCCCCAGGGTTGAGTACCTTCCTGGGTAAAAGCATCTCCCGGAGGCTGGGAGCTGGAGCTCGGCCCCCATTTCTGCCCGTGCCACTTTTCCAGCACACACTGAACCTCATACCTGCTCTGCTTCCTAGCTCCCATCCTGGCGCTGAGGTGGATGCGGAGGGCAGGAGCCCAGAGGCTTGCCTGGTCTCAGAGAGGACTGTTGGACTAACTGCTTCAAAGAACCTGAGCCCTCCCCCGCACACCCACCCCCCCTGGAAAAATCTCCTTTCCCCTTAAATCTAGGCCCTGTCTCCTCCCACCTGAGAACAGCTTCCTGGCAGCTCCTTGGCTCAGGGTCCAGTCCGTCTCTGCATCCCTGAAAACTTGCTCTTCAAGGTATTTCTGAGCCAGGCTGCCCAAGACCTGAGTGTGCAGAACCCCACCACTACGAATCCAGCCTGCTGGGCACAGCGGGGGACTGTGTCCAAACCACCATCCTGCCCTCTAGGGCCTTCCAGCTGGAGGCGCAGAAAGGGCCAAAGTGCCCGTCCATCTGATGGATGCACTAGGGTTTTGAGAATTTTTGAGGAAAGTGCTCTCTAAATGTAAAATTCCTCTAGCCACTAATGCATCTTTCAAGCACTTTTTCTGCCCAGCTGTGGAGCCCTCCTGTTCTCTAGAGGAAAGCTGGGGCTGTGGAGGGAGGGAATGAAATAACAGGGGAAGTTCTAATTCTGACTTTAAGAATCACTTTCTCTGTGACCTTGGGCCACACGTTCTACCTCTCTGGGCCTGTTTCTTCATCTGGGAGGCGTGTGGGTTTCCTAAGGACCCTTCTGGCTCCAAGAATTGGTGAGCAGCGAGGCAGCTGGGAAGGTGGAGGGCGCGGAGGAAGCTGGCACCGTTTCGCGTCACCAGGGTCTAAAGATATCCAGGGAGTGCTGTCCCCTCCCTTCCCCTTTCTCTGGGCAGGGGTCACTTTCCTTCCCTTTGGCTCACCTCCTGTCTCAAATCAGCCTCCGGCTCTGAGAAACTTGACCCCTGCTGTAAAAATAAAGTGGGCAGTGTGGATGTCTGGCCCTGTGGATCTAGTGTCTGGGAAGGAGGGGGTAAACGTGCAAACTTGGAGACAGGAAGAGTCTTAGCCTTTTTAGGGCCACAGACCTCTTTAAGAATAATAAGAGCTAAAATGTACTGCGGGCTGACCCTATGCCTAGAACTCTGTTAGCACTTTTACGTGTGATAATATCTCATCCAGTCTTCACAGGTCCACGTCTGATGTTTGTGAGGCCTGGGGCAACTGCACAAATGATAATTACATATATGTCTAAATATAAGTTATGAATCAAGATAACAAAGTGTTAAAACTCATCTATTATCCTCCACCTTTGATGAATTTTCCTCAGTCTTAATTTTAAGGCCAGGCCCAAAAGCCATTCTCTGGTCCACTCTTCCCTGGTCTTGCTGGGACAGGGTCTCTCATGCATGCCTGGGAACCCTCCACCTGCATGTCAAGTTCCATCCACCTCCCACCCTCTGTAAACAGCTGCCCTTTGCCCACTCCCTAGGCCTGTGGGTGCACATCCGGCAGGGGCAGCTCCTGAGAGGACTGACCCGGGGAAGAGGCCTGCTCGGAATCGGGTCATGTGAACAGGGAATTCCAGGGTACCGGATGTTCAGAGCATGGTCTAGAAGAGGAGGTGTATAGACTACCCTCCCTTCTGTCCCAGGAACCACTTTTCCAGTGAGGAGGCGTAGGGCCAGAGGAGGGCCAGAGTGAGGCCCTCCAAACTCAGGAGCCCAGGGCTGAGGCCCCCGTTGCCCAGGTCTAAGGGTGGCATTGCTCTTAACAATTGCATGAGGTGAATATCGTCACTTTCACCATATTACAGATGAAGCTGCTGCAGATTGCATAACTTGCTCAAGGTCATACAACAATAGATGCTGGAGCTGGGACTTGATTCCCCAGTGCCTAACTCCAGAGCCCCTATACCACTATCACAGCTATACTGAGCAAGCCTCTCTCCTGGAAAAAAAGAGACATTCAGCATTTCCAGTACAACCCCAAGGGGTCCTTGATCTCTGAAGCCCTCCAGGGACCCCAGGTTAAGAAGGTGGGCGGTGCAGGGGCAGTAGCAGAGGTCAGGCCATGAAGCGGGAGCAGGTTTCCAGGTCTGAACCAGTCTCCAGACAGGCAAAGGTTGGAGGGTCAGGACCTCAGACAGGCCCTGTGGTGGCGGGAGGGGGCTGGGATGGCCGGGAAGGGGCTGCTGAGGAGGATAGCAGACATGAGTCCCCAAACCACCCCAAGTAGCACTAGTCACTTGTAACTCAAGAGGGTCTGGGAAAAAGCCCTCTGACCTGGCTGTGACCCCACCCCCCAAGCCCAGATGTCTGCCCTGGGCTCCTCGACCCCCACCCCAAAAGGGAGGCGAGGCCAATGGAGTCCTCCAGGATTCTGAAGGACTCAGGACACCCTTGGAGGGGCCTAAAAGGGGAGGGTCTGAGGCGGGTGGCCTAGGTGGGGAAAATGAGGAGTAGGGGTGCCGCGGGAGGGTGAAGCGGGGCTTGGACCCGATCGGTGGTGTCTGGCCGATTCCCTAACCAGGAGCATCATGATTTTCGAGGAGTCCACGAAGCAGTGGGAGAGCATGGTGGGCGGTGACGTGGGCAGTTTACAGTTGGAAGCCGGGTTCCCGGGACCCTGCACAGCGGGGCTGCGCGAGGCTGCACACTCGCGGGTCGGCGGCCGCGGCGGGCAAGCCCGCACACGCCCGCCGGCTGCTGCAGTGTTGGCTGCGGGCATCCGAGCGGTCCCTTCGCGGCCCCAGAAGAGGGAGCCTCTACCCTACTCGTGTTCCTCAAAGCAGAACATCACAGCCTTCCAACAGCCGAAAAGCTCCATCTCTACTCCTCCCCAAACTATCCTCCTAATTGGCAGCTCAGCGCACGGGATGATGCGCGCGGCTGAGGGCGGCCCTGCAGTGCGAAGCCGCAGCCGCCCAGCCCGAGCCGGAACGGAAGCAGGGGTGGTGGTGGTGGTGGGGGGCCGGTACGGCAGGCTCCCGGGGCTCGGGGACCACGAGGTGGGGACGCTCGGGGCTCCGCGGCGGCCACCGCCCCTCCTGCGGCTGGAGCGCTTCCAAAGCAGAGGAGCAGCGTCGCTCGCGTCTGCACTAGCTCGGAGGTCCTTCTGCTCCGGGTCCTCCTCCTCGGGCCCCCTCCTTCGCCTCCCCTTGCCCTCCGCGGCTGCTCCCGCAGCCGGCTCCTCCTCTCCCTCCCTCCCCCTCTTCGCCCTTTCCGCGCCAACTTTCCCGAGCCCCGGCCGGCGGCGCACAGCTCCCCGGCAGCCTCGGGGCCGACTGCAGACCGAGGGCTGCGAGCGCGGCTGTGACCTGTGTATCCTGTACCCGCGCCCCTGGTGCGCTCGGCAGAGAACAGCACGATGCCCGGGGCTGGGCACCGAGGCGCAGCCCGGGCGAGATGGCTGGGCACTGGGCTTTTGGGTAAGGCAGCCCCGGCTTGGTTTCTAATGCCTCTTTCCCCCACCCTTCCCCCACCTCCCCCCAGAGGAGGAGACACTTAGAAGAGCAGCGCCTTGGACGGGGTGGGCTTTGGAGTGCGGCACGGAATGAGCATCGCGGCTCCCGCTTCTTGCCGGACGCGGGCTCGGACTGCTGAGCTCCCTGAGGACCGTGCGCCGTCCCCTGCCCCATCCGGCCAGCCAGCCCCGAGATTAGTTCTTTGCTGTCTGTGGTGCCTTCAGCCCCGGGCTTCTAAAGCTGAATCTTGGGGACCAGAGTTCGGAGGTTTAAGCGTGCTGGGGGAGGGTGTCTTTGCCTTGGGTGTAGGGGATGCCAGGTGGGTTTGCATCCCAACGTGTGATTGTTGGGATGCTGTTTTCTACCTCTGCCCAGAGCCGTTTGCAACTTGGATGCTTGTTGCCCAGGCAGTAGCGTGCACCAGTTGGGGGTGGGGCAGCTCCCCTTCCTCCTGGTCCTTTTTCTGTTTGACTCCTCTGCTCTCTACTTCCGCCAGTGCCCATTGCCTTCCCTGCAGACTGGATGGGGTTGAAGGGACTTGGAGGACAGTTCGAGCCCCTATTTATTTATTTAGTTATTTATGGCCCGCGCCTGCTTGCGGGATCTTATTTTCCCCGACCAGGGATTGAACCCGCGCCCTCGGCAGAGAAAGCGCGGAGTCGTAACCACTGGACCGCCAGGGAATTCCCCAAGCCCCCTTTTAGGAAGGATCTTATCTCTCTTCTTAGGTAAAGATTCCATGGGGGTGTGGGGGAACCTGTTTAACCTGCTCCTGGCTCTTCATTTTTGGGATGAGTATGAAGACGGAGGGGGCACATCCAGAGGACACAGAAGGAACAGATTATTACCTATTAATATGCACACGATATGCGTCAAACTCCAACAGATTGGGGGATGATATTTATTAGTCCAGAATGTAATCGCCTCATAAATTATAGCTGATTTCAATGTAAGCCGACTCCGTCTCCGGCACCTGCACCTGCTTCCTGCTTACATTAGTCACATTTGGCTTTTGGCAGCTCCCCCCTCATCGGGTCAGGCACACCATGTAGGCATTTGGGCTGAAAACAGGGAGACAGAAGTCTTTAAGGGTGGTCAGTGGTGCTTCTGCAAATGTAAACTGTGTGCAGACCTGTCACGTTGGCACCTGGTGGAGGAGGGGGGATAGAGTATGTCTTGCACTCAGGAGCCACTGATTTTATTACATCCCCACAGCTGGATGGAAGTCACTGGTGTTCTCTCTTGTACCTTAGGCACAGATGTGCTGGTTTCACAGTGACCCTAGGAAGTGGGCCTCTGTAGGACTGAGGCTCCTCCTCATGGGCTAGGCACAGTGCCACTCTATACTAGCTGCCCCTCACCCCATCCCTGATCAGCCCGAGTTCCCGCTGTGGCCGTGGCCATTTAATCCTCAACTGCAAAGCTGAGGATAAAATGGGTGCCAGTCCCTTCCTAAGCATGTAACTGGTAATGTATGTGTCCTACCCACCCCTTCCTGTTCCCTGATTTGCTTAATTACTGTGATCTCTGTGTAATTATCACTTGTGAGGGTGCTATGTTGCCCCACCCTCTTTCCC